TTTCAGCCCCTTAGCTCGTGTGGTTCCCGAGATCGCTTTCCCGTCAAAAAATTTGCTTATTTTTTTAAAGCACCCATACGCGGCACTCAGGCATTCGCGGGAGATAAAATTAAAACGGGAGAGTCGCGTATGGTATGAGCATATATTTCCAAAGTTTCAGCTTTCTAGGTTTCTGGTTCTCGAGTTGAAAGTGAGTGACAAAAAGTGCGAACACACAGACACACACACGCACACACAGCCTCTATCCAATATGTTTTTTTCAATTTGCGTATATGCAAAAACGCATAAAAATCGCTGTTTGTTATTTTAGTAGTTATCGCACGGTTTGCACCAATTATTTCTTGATCCAATATTCCAGACCGTGCCTCTTCCACTACGAGATTTTTACCGATTTGTGGAGACGATTTTAGAAAAATTTTACATCACCAATAGCACGTGGTGCAGCAGTAAGCCCTGAAAAGTAGTGAGTTCGGAAAAAACAGGACGTGTGTAACTGGGCGATTTCCATAGAGGCGGTAAGCGCATGAGATTTCAGAATCGAAGGCTGAAATATGGGATCCAGGAATTGATTGCAGTGTTACGAGAATGTCAATGCTGACTTTCATGTGTCCATATAGTTGGTGTATGGCTACGCATCGGTTGCTCTGTGAGCTTCACACTGACATGTTGTACAGCCTTATGTGTAGCAAATAAGGACTGTAACGATAATGGAACACATGACTAGCTTTGCTTCCTTTTTTTCCAAACTTAGGTTCGTCTTCCGCTATTTCAGACTGCTGCGAAGCCAGTGAAACGGCCAGTGCCATTACCGCGACAGAGCAAACTCAAGGTAGGCATCTGATACCCTTGCGACATCGTCTAGAAACATCGTTTTGTCACTTGTCTAGTGAATTTCCGTGTTGCCTCCATTTGTAAAAGATTTTACCAGAGCTCCGTTGCTAGCACCGTTTTTTGCCTCCGAAATCATTCCGAGGAAATTATTTTTTCAACTTTTTACGTTTACCTGTATGTTTTGTAGGTGGCTGTGGATGAAGATTCGTTGGTGAAAACTTCTCTCGGTGGAGCGAAGGCGCAGCTTGGGGCTAGCAGTGGCCTAGAATCTCTGGTAAATTTTGTCCACTAAAATTTGAATTTTAAATTTAAAAGTGAAAAATGATAAAGCCATGGTGAAGGAAAGCTCGGACGTCTAGTACTTTAAGTGGTCGCGGGCCGATCCTTGTTTTGCATAATTATAGAGCAGGAAATGTTCGAATTCTACATTTACTATCCTCAGGTTTGCCGATTTGCAGTGCTTTATTATTACGTTAACGACCCACATGCTCCATACCCAGCAAATGCAGTATTCGAGTATTAGCAAGCGTAGTAGTCACATACACTCTAATAAGTGTGCTCTTACTGTTCTAAGCAGCGTAGCAAAAGTTGAGTTACCTTTCTAATTTTTCTTGGGTAAACCAGCCGAGAGGAGAGAAGTGATATAATTTACTTTTCCACGGCAGCCACAGTGTTGCCCAAAACTTTGCTACTTTGTGGGAGGTGAATATTTTACTTTTTTTTTTTTGCGGGACTTAACATTTTTTTTTTTGAATTTAATCTAGTTTCATTGAATTTTTCTCTATTTAAGACAACTGTTTCTGTAGATGACAATCGCAAAAACAACAAGCAGTGTGGAAGAGGGAATGGACGAGAGTAACGAATGGACGTTACGACTATAGGCATTATGCTTAACAAATTGGAAACACAGTACTTTTCCGGATTTAGTACTCACGCTTGTGTAAAATACCTTTGTGCCTTACCTAGTTTTTTTCACACCAACGTCTTTCTAGCTTACTTCTGACATTTCAGTTCATCTTTTCTGCCCGCGTCAGGAACTTTAGCAAATTTAGAAGCTTAAAAGAGTGCTAGCTTGAATCGTATTTAGTACCACAGAAGAGAAAGAAGGGCTGCAGAACAAATCTTATTTCCTGCAGGCCGCACATTACTTTTAACGTGTTTTTTTTTTTTTGCAATTTTGCAATGCGAAAAACGCATTTGTACCGAGACAGTTTATGCATCTGCGT